TCCCCCCGAAAAGCATGGACGCCGCAGTGGTGGGAGCAGTGCTTTCTCCGACCATCCAAACCATACTAGACTGTATAACCTCAAGTAAGTTCCGAGAATTTGTTAAGGACAGAGAGCTAAATGTTCGACTCTTGGATGACCTGAAGATAACTCTCATTATGCTTGATGCTATATTTCATTGATGCTGACGAGAAGCAGATCACTAGTCCTGCAGTGAAAAGATGGCTTGAAGAGTTGAAAGATGCCATTATGATGCAGAAGATTTGTTGGATGAAATCAACACTGACTCTCTCAGATACCAGGTGGAACAAGATTCTCAGGAAGTTTCTGATAAGTTGATCTCCTTCTTTTCTCCTTCTGTTGGCGGAATGTACTGGAAAATGAACCAGAAGCTTAAAGAAATACACCAAAGGCTTAACCTCTTTGCTGAACAAAAAGATATCCTTCATTTGCAGAGTGTTAGCCGGAGGGCACATAAAAAGACTACAACTTCACTAGTAAATGAGTCTGTTGTAGTTGGCAGAGAGGATGATAAGGAGAAACTGTTGAACATGCTTGGGTGTGATGAAAACGAAGAGGGTAATAATATAGGAGTGATCGCATCTGGGGCATCGGTGGGGTTGGTAAAACAACCCTTGCTCAACTGCTTTATAATGATGAGAAAGTGCAGCAATATTTTGATTTGAAGGCTTGGACATGTGTTTCCGAAGATTTCAATGTTTTTGAGGTGACCAAGAATATTTTAGAATCTGTCAGCTCAAAAGCTCATAATAGCAAAAATCTAGAAATTCTTCAAGTTGAACTGAGAAATAGCTTGAGGGGCAAAAAATTTTTGATTGTAATGGATGATCTGTGGAATGATAGATATAGTGATTGGGATGATCTGGTTGCTCCTTTCCGCAATGGAAAAAGGGGAGTAAGATCATCATAACAACTCGCCAACAAAGAGTTGCTGAAATTACACATACATTTCCTGCGTATAAGTTGTCAACTCTCTCTAATGAAAATTGTTGGTGTTTACTAGCCAAGCATACACTTAAAAAGGAAGATCTTAACAAGCATCAGAGCTAGAAGCAATCGGAAGGAAAATTGCAAGAAAATGTTGTGGGCTACCGATTGCTGCCAGATCAATTGGAGGTCTTTTGCGTTCAAAAGTGGATGAAAAGGAATGGTATAGAATTCTAAATAGTAATATGTGGGACTTGCCAAGAGATGATGTTCTACCTGCTTTGTATCTGAGTTATGTTATCTTCCACCACATTAAAGAGATGTTTTGCTTATTGCTCCATATTCCCAAAAGATCACGCATTGGATAGGAAGCAATTGGTCTTGTTATGGATGGCTGAAGGTTTTGTACAACAATACTCCGAACTGGAGATCGAATCAGATAACTGCTTTAATGAATTACTATCTAGATCATTCATTCATCAGCATGAAGATCATCCAGAAAAGTTTATCATGCATGATCTCATCATCGATTTAGCCAAGCTTGTGTCTGGCAACATTTGTATTTGGTTCGAAGGTGATGAAATCCCAACAACTACTGCTCGCCATGTATCATATCCCAAACAAGGATACGATGGCTCTGAAATGTTCAAGAGTTTTTATCACCTAAGTTCTTTGAGGACTTTCCTGCCGCAACAAACTTGGCCATTTATAGAATCATGTGTCTTGAGCAAAAAGGTCTCACATGATTTGCTGCCAAAACTGACACGTCTAAGGGTATTGTCTTTGTCCATGTATTCCAATATCACCGAGTTGCCTGATTCAATTGGCAATTTGAAACATCTGTGGTATCTTGATCTATCCTATACTAAAATCACAAGGTTGCCTGATGCCACCTTTAAACTTTGTAATTTGCAGACTTTGCTTTTATCATACTGTAAGTCTTTCAGTGAATTGCCTAAGAGTATAGAAAAGCTTGTCAACCTACGTCACCTGGATATCACCGGCACTGCTTTGAAGGAGATGCCAACACAGATTACCAAACTACAAAATCTTCATAGTTTGAGTACTTTTGTGGTGAGCAAACAATCGGATGGATTGAGAATCAAGGAGTTAAGAAAGCTACCTCATCTAGAAGGCAAGCTTTCAATTTTGAAGTTACAAAATGTTGTTGATCCCATGGATGCTTTCGAGGCAAAGTTGAAGAGAAGAGAGAAAATTGAGGAGTTAGTGTTGGAGTGGGATAGTGATGATTCTCAAGACTCACCAACAGTGAAAAATATACTTAACATGTTTCATCCTTCAGCAAAGTTACAGAGATTGACCATCAACCGTTATGGTGGTACTAGCTTTCCAAATTGGGTGGGAGATTCTTCATTTACCAATATCACCTTTTTATGCGTGAGCAATTGCAAAGGTTGTTTATCCCTTCCACCTTTTGGGCAATTACCTTCTCTTAAAGAGCTTTCAATTCAAGGAATGGCTTCTGTAAAGATAGTTGGGCATGAGTTCTATTGCAATCAAGCAGGCTCCTCTTCATTTCATCCATTTCCGTCCTTGGAAATTCTAAAATTTGAAGATATGCGGCTTGGGAGCAATGGAGGACACCATTTAAAGGTGAGGGTATCGAATTTCCCTTTCCCAGTCTCAAACATTTGTACTTGTATAATTGTCCTCAGTTGAAGGGAGACATGCCCGACAATCTTCCATCACTGAGAAAGGTCGATATACTAAACTGCAGTCATTTGGAAGCCAAATCATCAGCATTGAAATGGATTGCTTGCATTCAAAAATTAAACATTAACCAAGGGGAAAAGGACTTGCTGAGGGCCATTGAAAATTTTTCTCTAGACTCATTGAAACGCCTGAGAATTACTGATTGTTCCAGCTTGCAGTCTTTGTCTAGAATGATATCGGCATGTCACTGCCTTCAAAAATTGTATCTCAAAAGCATCCCATCTTTAGAGTCCTTGCCAATTCATGGTTTGCCCACTTCATTGCAGCGACTTAGAATTGAAGATTGCAGTAAATTAGAATTCCCACCTCAGGAATCTTGGCAAAACTACACCAGAATTGAATTTTTGCTCATTAAAAATAGTTGCGATTCATTGACATTCTTTCCATTAGGTAGTTTCCCCAAGCTTAAAATTCTGGTGGTTGAAGGTTGTCATAATCTGGAAACATTTACACAAGTTGACGGGTCTTCCCCTACCTTAGAATCCCTTGTTCTGTCTGATTGTAAGCAATTCAGATCAATGTCACAAGTACAAAGTGAATCCCTCACTACCCTTAAGTACTTTTCTCTTTCTCAGCTTCCGAATTTGGAATCACTGCCTGAATGTGGTTTGCCTTCTACCTTGCGATCATTTGTTATAGTTGACTGTGAGCGACTATCTTCCGTCCCTCTTAAAAAATGGGGTTTCCAAGAGTTGACATATCTCTCAGGACTTCAGGTCAAAGGTGATGGAAGTGAAAAGACTCTCTGTAACTTACTGAAGTATCAATTATTACCCACTTCTCTCGTGAGAATCGACATCTGTGATTTCTCTAATCTTAAGTTTTTATATGGAAAAGGGCTTCGACACCTTACTTGTTTAGAAGAGCTCTATATCTCTGAGTGTCCAGAGCTTGAATTCTTGCCAGAAGATGAGCTGCCATCCTCTCTTTGGAGCTCAATATCTTAGGCTGTCCTAAATTACGTAAAAGATATGACCATCAAAAAGGACAACACTTCTCCGAGATTGCTCATATTCCTACCTTACAAATAGATGGCATATATTATGATCCTTGGGAAGCGTCACAAGGTGAGCTCTCTAAGATTTCGATGCAATTAAAAATGTTGACATGAGTTGACTTTAAAGATTGGCAAGATTATTCATGAGCATGCATTCTTTCAATATTATTTGGCTCAGTATAATGCACTCCTTCCTGTCTTTGTTATAAGATCTAAATTTTTGAATTAGTCTAGCCTTTTTGATGAGATCTAGTTTGAGATTGCCTGATTATTAGATGCATTTTGCCAAATTTACCCCTGGTAATTGTATTATTATTTTTTTGTACATTCTTTTCACTGTTTTCTCACTATTTCTCTTCCTCTACAAAGGACTGGAGGTAGCATTAGATTTGTATGCGATGAAGTGTGACATGAAACCATATATACTTAGCTTTAACATTTAGGCGTCCTTTATAGTGATTGGTATCTAGTATGTTCTGCTTTCTTATATTTGTAATGTGATGAGAGTTTTATATGTATACACACACATATTCTGATTTTATATAATCATTATGTTAACCGTGATGGAACCTAAAGCTTGACTTTATAATTTTTTGTCTTTTCTTGGACATTTCTTTTTAATGAGCAACTTGTTCGAAACTTTGATGAACAGAACGTACTCGGCTTTCAAGGGGAGAAGGTGAGGGAATCAATAAAACTCGGGAGCTTCCAAATAAAAGAGCTCTATTGGAAGCAAAAAGCGTGTAAGAAGCTAATACAGTTGTTCATGCCAAGCAGTAGTTTGTATTACATGGTGTTTTATGTTTAGTTTTGTAAAATTATATCTACAGGTATTTAAATCGTTATCTTATTCTTTTCTCTGACGATAACAGGTTGAGAAAAATGAAAGGCGATAAGGATGATTTGCTGCTATTTTGGTAGAGATTAAAGGTTGGTAAGATAACTAATAATCATTCCTCATAGTGTTGTAATTTTGAGTTGATTGTTTATTTAATTATTGAGCGCCCCGCTATCTCCCTCTCAATATAAAAATTTGATTTTTCATCAGTGTTTTGTTTTATACAGGAAGTTCAAGGGGGAAAAAACTTTAAACGGTGATTGGTTGAGAGTCTTATAATTGATTTTAATAAAAAAATCAGAGCTCTGTTCTTTCTTCTTTTACATTTTTTTACGAAATGTTTTTTGCAATTTCAAAGAATTTTTTTTACATACCCTTGACTTGAGAAAGTAAAACGTGCCCTCTTTTTTAGTTACAATATTGAATCAGCTTCATGCCAATGTATATCTTTAAAGCTTCACATTCCCAGTATATATAAGATTCTATTTGGAACCCCAACCTCTATGCATTGGGGTCTCATCTTTCTATATTCATGCATTATTTACAAAGCACAATAAGTTTGATTCGGTTTCTTTTTTGAGGTTGCAGATTTTTGAAAAGCTTTGTGGAACAATTCAAACTCTGAAAGCACCGAAAGATTTTGAAGACCATCAAGACAGAGTGCCATCAAATAATCCTCTGCTTCAGATTCTCTGTTTTCCTATCATCAAAATGCTGTCATCTTCTGTTTTCTTCATCTTTGGGAGTTGATTCATGAGAAGCTCACGTGAGTATCAGCTTTTTTATCTCAAAGAATTTCGTTTTCAGAGGTTAAGGCTTCAATCAATTTATAGTTAGTTTAATAAACTTTTGTGGATGGGGTTACTAAAGGCTTGAGTTTCTTTTTTCTTTCTCTGTTTATTTTAATTGTATTACTGCTTAAAATATTCTATATATTGCGATCTTATCTTCCTACTCTTTTTAGTTGCTTGGTATTAAAGAGATTGATTGATCAAATTCATTGGATCGCAATTTTTCCTGTTTGCCAATAGATTTCAAAGACTGACAAGATTTAGAATTATTCTTTCTTTATTTGACTCAATTTAATGCAATTATTATGCAGGCATAATGAGATGTGCAGGCATGGAGCCTGATATATGAATCATGTACACTTGTCACATAGGTAGGTAGGCATGTACACTTGAGGTTGCTTTCATTTTAAGTGACAAACCAGAATGTTATTGACTTTCATTTGTTAAAACTAATCACCTTTTAGTTATTGTGATTGAAAACTTTCAGGTGTTGTTGAATTTACTCTAATATTGTGTACTTTAGTGAATCAGGTCAAAATAGTTGATCAGATTGCTGTGTTTTGAAGAAAGAGTTATATGAGAAGCAAGGAAGGCAGGTAAAAAAAGCTTATTCAATGGTCACGATTTTGCCTCATCAGTAATATAATATCTAAAGGAACCACTTTAGCTAATTCATGAGTAATGGTTAATAAAAAGTATTAGTGGTCACTATTTCGGTTTGTTACCATAAAAGAAGCATTGCTTTTTGGTCATTCAATCATATTATATGTTGGATAGAAAATTTGATTTCTAGTGTTCTGCTTCTTCAGGTTTCAACATTAAGTGGCTTATGGGTATTATGCAATTAACAATTGTCATGAGGCATAATTGAATTTCCTTCTCAATTGCTTTTTCACTTTAGTAACAATGAGGCATAATTGATTTAGCATTACTGAGTCTAACGTTTTAATTGACACTCTTTAAATTGCTCTTTGACAACAATTTGCACTCAATAATTTGCTACTTCTAACTTTTAGATACTCATTTTAATATATAAGATCGTGTCTTAAAATGAATCTAATATTTTGGTATTTGAAGGTAAATGAGTAAATTTCATCTACACGAATCTCATTGTTTAATTTACCGATTCCAATAAAATATTTAGTTGTTAGCAAATTGGTCATTAGTTTTGATGAAAACAAATGATTTTAAAATTATTTCAACTTAGAATTGATATTTTTAAAAATTGAATCCTCATTGACTGACATGCTTTTATTGCAGAATCTGGCAGCAAAGCATAACTGACAATGATATCAAAGAGGAAATTAGTCACTGGATCAATAAATAAAAGAAATACAAGAGGAGGAATCTCATCAGTGTTCATTCCAGATTAACCGTATGCTTCTGAGTATCATTGTTGAAATTTGAGTATGAGTTCTCAAGAGTGCTTTCAATATCTAGCTATTCAAGAGCAACCTATGCAGATAACTACTGTTTACTTAAGCTGTATTGGCTCGGGCGTGAACTGTGTAAAGCTTTAGATGCAACTTATGAGTAAGTTATGTAAAAATCTTAGAGTTGTGACTTGTAAGATTTGTAGGTGAGCTCTCTTTGTGAAACTTACTGGCATTGGGATTGGATTTTTATAGTGGGCAAATCTCTTGAGTATTTTTCAAGAGGACTGGACACAAATCAAAGGACCGAATCAGGATAATTCTCATGGTGCCTTATTTTTTCTTTCTTTATCTCTAATTTATCAACTAACTATATTTAATTTCTTGTTTAATCTCTTAGATAAACACTATTAACGTCTTTTAAAGTTAATTTAATCAAATCATTATATGAAACTTCTAGTAAACAGAAATATTAGTTGTAAGTGGCCTATATTATTTTAACAAATAATTTTTTTGGTAGCTTGCAGCTGACTAAAAATCCATAAAAAAGGAATTTCGTAAAATTATATCTACTGTCAGCTTCATATTCTCATATATTCTATTATCATTATTGTGATTTGTTTTTAGCACATGATTTTGTGAGTTTGTGAAAAACTCATGTCCCACATTAGAGATTTTTCTCTTGGGATCTTTGAGCTCAAAACTTGGCTGGTTAAATTGAAGTTGTACCGAGTAAGGCTGTGAAGGCCTGAATAGCAAGATCTTCGACTTTCATGTATGTCCGACATTATCTGCCTGCTGTGAGTGAATTTTAATTTCATCTTGATGTATTATTATATTTACTTTGAGCCATATGGTGTCAAGCACACTCCCAAACTCATTATTTGCACCCAACGAATATCTACTCTACCCTTGCAATAAAAGATGCTTTCTGAAAGAACCTTTCGCTTCCTAAAAGCATCTTTGAAGCTTATTCATGAGAGGCTCATTGAGTTTTGTGGGTTGGTATGAGTAAAAAAATAGGATAATATTTAGAGGATCTAGGTTCATTTGACACTATAAACCCATGAGAATATCCAATCAATTGTGTATGACAATGTATTGGGTAATATGCTGCATAAATTCGTATCAAGAAATGGGCTTGGGCCCAAAATTTGAATGGATCAGGAAGGCCTGCAAACAAAAAGCACAAGCCCAACCAAATTGATCAAATCAAATGGATAATGGGATTCGAACTCACAACTTTATGAGTTACAAACTGACTCCTTATCAACTGAATAAATTATTATTGGCGGTTCTATTTTGTCTTTTTTTTTTGCCTGAAAGTTCTATTTTGTCTTTTTGATCATTGGTCTTCGTGGTTCCACACCTCAAAATCATTCTCGTCCAACCAAACAATAACATCTCCAATGTCAAGATGATGACTTGATTTTTTTATTTATTTATCAGTGCATTAAAATATATTACATTTAGCCTTGGTATGGGTGAAGTGAAAAAAAAAGGAAAATAATAGGAGGGAGAAAATAATAGGAGTTTTCTGTCTTGATATTATTTCTTCTATATTTTTCTTCTCATCCAAACTAAGAGTCTGTTTGGTATGAAGGAAATGGAGAGAAAGAGAATGGAAGGAAAATTTTAATGGGCTTATTTTAAAAAATTAGAGAAGTGGGGTTAAAATTTTCCAATTAATTTTTCTCTCTCTTTTATCTTATATTTTCCTTTTATGAAAATTTTATAACCCCAATTCTTCAATTTTTTAAAACAAGATCATTAAAAAATTTTCTTCCCTCCGTTTTCCTTGTACCAAACAGATCCTAAAATTAAGAACCATCATCAAACACTTTAGCCTGCAAAAAGTATAGAATTCTAACTCATCGGAAATCATTTTGGAATTTTGAAATCCTCTATAATAAACAGTCTTTCTCACCCTAAACATATGAATTAGTTGAGAGTTTGTTTTGACTTTTGAGACAATACTTATATCAAGTTTTTTATATCTATTATATCAAGTTTTCTAATCACACATTGCCACATATCCTATTTTTAAAATATTATCATTAAACTATAAACCCATATGACAAAAAGGAAATACACGGTCATATGTAATTAAAAAACTTAACATAATGAATATAAAGAACTTGGATATAATTCAATCAAGTTTGTCTCTCAAATTATAAATTTTTCTGAATTATTCTTATTGGTTGCAGTACTAATTTAATTTCTAACTTTTGTCAAATTATTCCTATTTATTATACATACTAAAAACAACTTTTGCAAGAGATAATTTCTAATGTAAAAGATTAAACTAAACATTTTAAAGGAATAACACGCATTATTTTGGAGATAACTAACTTAATTTTTTAATATCTATAAATTAATTACTTAATACAGCCTCCGTTACTAAATATAAAACTTCATTTAAGATTACAAACAAAGTTTATAATTTATGACAGTATTTCTTATTCGACTTCATTGCTAGAAGATATTTTGTCGAAAATGAATGGTTCTTGTTTAGTCCTTTCAAATAAGATAAGAAAGAGGCAACTTTGAATTACCTCTATCAAATTGAATGTCGTGTCATTGTCTTTTCCCATTCACGTTGGTGAGGAATTTAGAGGGTTATGATGGAAACAGAAAATATGATGAAAGCAAATAAAATCAATATTTGTAATCAAAGACACAAATAATCAAGAATTCAATCTAAAAATCCAATCTATAGCGTACTACTCTCATAACCTTTTGATTAACATAGAACGAGACATAGATATTTTCTTTTACCTTTTTTTTTTTTTACCTGTTTTGCAAAATGATTTTTTTTTAAATTTCAAAACCCGCATTGTTTTTTCGACCCTTGAGTTGAAAAAATAGCGTGCTCTCTATTTTAATTTGACTATCGAATTAGCTTCAATTCACTACATTTAGTTTCCGCATTCCCTATAGAAAAATGGGTATTTACTACCTTTGATTATTAATATAAAAGCTAGTTTAGCTTTTAATTTAGTTTTAAATATAAAACATCAATCCACTTTGTCTCTAATATTTATCTATTTTTTTCTCAAGTAATCTTTATAGTAGTTTTATATGTTGATGAGTTACTGTTAATTGTAATTTAGACACACATGATTAATAAGAGTATTTTAGAAAAAAAATATCTATTTATTACAAATAACTAATTTAAGTAACTTTCTTAATCTTTTCAAATTAGTCAATTAGATTTTACATTAAGGATTGAAGGTAGTCTAACCAAAACAATTAGGAAAAATGATATTTGGGACTATCTGAGGGATCAAAAATAATTGAGGACATCAAATTTTCAAAATAACAATTATAAATAAAGATTTTGGGACAATTAATTATTCTTGCGTAGGCTCTTTCAAGAAAAAAACGGAAATGTCACTGGGCATGGCCTACCATATTAAAAACACATGTCCTTCTTATCTTCCTTGCAATATCCCCCTTGTATCATTTTGAGAAGCAGATGGGATATTTCCCAGAATGTACTGAGGCACACCGTGGTCAGAAGTCATTAAACGTCCACATTTAATGGTTTAATTTTCTCGATTAATCTAAACTAGCTTCATTCTATCTCTTCCGATCAAACTCTGTTCACTCTCATTATCTCGGCCACCATACAAAAAGAAGCTATGGCTGCAGCAGCTGTGGGACAAGCATTGCTCTCTGCTTCTTTGCAGACCTTACTGGAGAGGATTACCTCCAGCGAGTTTCGAGATTTCATGAAAAACAGAAAGTTGAATGTATCTCTCTTGGATGAGTTGAAGATGACTTTGTTGATGCTTGATGCTATCCTCAATGATGCAGAAGAGAAGCAGATTACCAATGATGGAATCAATAAATGGCTTGAAGAACTGAAAGATGCTGTTTATGATGCAGAGGATTTACTGGATGAAATCCACACGGAGTCTCTAAGATGCAAGATGAAGAAAGATTCTCAAGGTGTCACAAACAAGGTGAGATCCTTCTTTTCTCCTTCTTTTGGTCAATTTTATTTGGAGATGAACTCCAAGCTAGAAGCAACATCTCGAAGGCTTGAAAACTTTGTCAAACAAAAGGATATCCTTGGTTTGCAAAGTGTTAGCACGAGAGGGCATAAAACACCTACAACATCATTGGTAAATGAATTTGTTGTGGTTGGTAGAGAGGATGATAAGGAGAAACTATTGAAAATGCTTCTGTGTGATGAAGATCCGAAGGGTAATGCTATAGGAGTGATCACTATTTGGGGTATGGGAGGCTTGGGTAAAACTACCCTTGCACAACTCCTTTACAATGATAAGACTGTCCAGGACAATTTTGATTTAAAGGTTTGGGCCTGTATTTCAAATGATTTTAACCTATTCAGGTTGACCAAAAATCTTGTTGAGTCCATCACTTCAAAAGTCTATAATAGCACAGATATAGACTACCTTCGTGTTAAATTAAGAAATAGACTAAGTAATAAAAAGTTTTTGATAGTGTTGGATGATCTATGGAACGAAAAGTATAGTGATTGGGATGATCTCATAACTCCTTTTCACAGTGGAAGAAGGGGAAGCAAGATCATCATAACAACTCGCCAGCAAAGAGTTGTTGAAATCACACATACATTTCCCGTACATAAATTGAGTTGTCTCTCAGATGATAACTGTTGGTTTTTACTCTCCAAGCATGCATTTGCAAATGAAGATCCAAATAAATATCCACAGCTAGAAGCAATTGGAAGAAAAATTGCAAGAAAATGTAGTGGCCTTCCCATTGCTGCTAAAACAATAGGAGGTCTTTTACGTTCAAAAGTGGATGCAACGGAATGGAATAAAATTCTTAATAACAACCTGTGGGACATACCAAATGATGATGTTTTACCAGCTTTGCGTCTGAGTTATCTCGCTCTTCCATCACATTTGAAGAAATGTTTCGCTTATTGCTCAATTTTTTCGAAAGATCTGTTGTTGGAGAAAAAGAAATTGGTCTTGTTATGGATGGCTGAAGGCTTTGTTCCTCAACACTCCCATGGGAAGAAAACATTGGAGGCAAAAGCAGATGAGTGCTTCAATGAATTATTGTCTAGGTCATTCATTCAACAATATGAAGGTGATCCAAGAAAGTTTTTGATGCATGATCTCATCAATGATTTAGCCAAAGTTGTATCGGGAAAGAGTTGTCTATGGTTTGAAGGCAATGAAATTCCAAAAACTCTTCGTCATTTATCATATACTAGAAAACGGTATGATGGTGCCAAAATGTTCGAGAATTTTGATCAGTTAAATTGTTTGAGGACTTTTTTACCTCAATCTAAGTATGGCTGGGCGTTTCCATCCTATTTGACTGGAAAGGTGATACATGATTTGTTGCCGAGATTAAAACGCTTGAGAGTATTATCTTTGTCTTGTTATGACAATGTCAATGAGTTGCCTGATTCAATTGGTGATTTGCAGCATTTGAGATATCTTGACCTTTCCTACACTCCAATTAGAAGGTTGCCTGATGCATTTTTTAAACTTCACAATCTGCAAACCTTGCTTTTATCATATTGTAGGAATTTCATTGAATTGCCAGAAAAGATAAAAAATCTTATTAATCTACGTCACCTAGACATTAGCGGCACAGCTTTGGAAGAGATGCCAACACAAATTACAGAATTACAAAATCTTCAAAGTTTGAGTAGCTTTATGGTGGGCAAACTATCAAATGGATTAGGAATTAAAGAGTTAAACAAACTTCCTCATCTGCAAGGTAAACTTTCCATTTTGAAGCTACAAAATGTTGTGGATTCAGAGGATGCTTTAGATGCAAACTTGAGGAGGAGAGAGAAAATTGAGGATTTAGTGTTAAAATGGGACGGTGATGATACTCAAGATTCACAGATTGTGAAAATGTTACTTGACATGCTTCAACCTTCAACAAATTTACAAAGACTGACGATAGACTATTATGGTGGCACTAGTTTTCCAAAGTGGGTGGGTGATTCTTCATTTACATATATTACCTTTTTATCTGTCAGTAACTGCAAATATTGCTTTTCACTCCCACCGTTTGGACAATTACCTTCTCTCAAAGAGCTCTTGATTAGAAGAATGGGATTAGTACAGATAATTGGGCGTGAGTTCTACTACAACAGAGTTCAGCCCTCTTCATTTCAACCATTTCCATTATTGGAAATTCTGGAATTTGAAGATATGCCAGTTTGGGAGGAGTGGATACCATTTGAAGGTGAAGCTGCCAAATTCCCTTTTCCTCATCTTAGACAACTGCGTTTATCTTATTGTCCTATGTTGAGGGGAGACATGCCTGTGAAACTACCATCATTGACAAAGGTTTATATATCTAATTGTGAACAGTTGGAGGCAAAATCATTATCTTCGCAATGGATCACATCTATTGAAGAGTTAAAAATCTTACAAGGGGGACAAGGTTTATTGAGAGCCCTTGATGATTATTCTCTCAGCTCTCTAAAACATCTGACAATTCAAAGGTGTTACAATTTGCAATGTTTGCCGAGAATGACAGTGAACTGCCACTGTCTCCAAGAGTTGTTTCTCTTTGGTGCCCCATCAATCATGTTCTTCCCAACTGACAGTCTACCCACTTCTTTACAACGACTTCTAATTCAAGACTGTGAGAAATTAGAGTTCATGCCTCAGGAATCTTGGCGAAGCCAAACATCAATTGAAGAATTGATGATTGATAATAGCTGTCATTCCTTGATATCCTTTCCATTAGATTGTTTTCCCAGGCTTAAAAAACTTGTAGTTTTTCAATGTCATAATTTGGAGACCTTTACAAATGTTGGGAGGTCCAATCTTTCCTTAGAAAAGTTAGCGGTCCACCATTGTCAAAAACTTGGATCAATGTCAGAAGTACATGTTAATTCCCTTGCCAGCCTTCAATTCTTTTCTCTTGAATGGCTTCCAAATTTGGAATCATTACCTCAATGTGGCTTGCCTTCTAACTTGCGATATTTGATCATTCGTGGCTGCAATGGACTATCTCCAATACCTTTTGAAAATTGGGGCTTTCATCGTCTGACTTCTTTGTCTCAGTTTGAGGTTGAAGGTAGTGGAATTGAAAATATTCTCCAGAATTTACTGAAGAATCAAATGATGCCCACTTCTCTTGTGCGTATGGTCATCTCTGATGTCCACAATCTTGAATTGTTAGATGGAAAAGGGCTTCACCGCCTTACTTCTCTAAAGAGGCTCTCCATTTATGGCTGTCCAAAGCTTGAATCCTTGCCAGAAGATTGCCTGCCATCCTCTCTTTTGTTTCTGAATATTTGGAGCTGTCCTAAATTAGAAGCAAGATACCATTTTCAAGGAGGCAGACACTTGTCCAAGATCACTCATATTCCCACCATAATAATTAATGGCGAATACCATGATCCTTGGTACATTCCATCTAAAGGTAAGCTCTCGATTTCCAAAACATTTCAGTATTTTTTTTTTTCTTGCAATTACGTTCTCATCATTTCCCCAAAGAACATAAAAATTTTGTCTTCCCGTTATGATTATGGCATCCATCAATATTATAGCCTATAGGAAGCATCTTTCCTACATCACATATACCTCAAGTTGTAAAATTTGCTCAGCCTGCAGGACCATCTTTGCGTCTGCTATTTTTCTTTTCCCGAAAAACTTCTAGTCCTCTGAAGCATGTGACTTAATTTGAAGTACTGCTGTGCTTTCTTATCAACATAATAATATCACTGCTATGGTAATTTTGTCTGAGATTTACAGTTAAAGCTAGCAACTTCCACCTTTCTATCTTTCTTTTTATAAAAACAAAACAAAAATCATATCATGCTTCTGCCAACTTATTGTTTTAGATTTTCGTTTGAATAAGCAGATTTTTATGCCATTTTTGCACATCTGAAGAAAGAGAGAGAATAATCGATGATGTCATTTTTAGTTTGCAATGGTCAATAATTAGTTATCATGTGATACTAATGATGAGTTAAGTATGAAACACAAACACACACACACACAGCCTTGTCACATAGGAGGTTTGATTTTGTCACAGATGGGTCTCTAGTTTGTTCAGCTTTCTTATGTTTGTGATGACTAATGAGATGGGGGTTATGATATATTTGTTAAGTAATATTTCTGATTTTATAAGATTTATTATGTTTTGATGAATCAGGTTTGAGGAGATGACAAAGCAGTATAATTATGCTTTAAATAAAAGGGAGAGAGATATGATATGCAAAGAAGTCAGGCAAAAGCTAACCCAGTTGTTGAGGTTGGCTAAATAATAGTCCTTTTTTTTTTTTTTTACAAATGTTACATGTTTTTTTCTTATAAAAATATCTAAAAGCTTTTAATTTTAGTGGATCTGATTCTTTGTTTTGATGTTACCAGGTTAGACAGTATAAAAGGAGCTCAGGAAGAATTTCCTCCTCTTCATTTAAGCCATTTCCATCCTTGGAGATTCTTACGTTCGAAAATAGGCCTAATTATTTGAAGGTCAATAATTAAATCATACATTAAAAACAGGAGTATATTATGATCCTTGAGATGTCGCATTTCTTCAAAAGGTGAGCTCTCAAATTTCACAACAAATAAACATATTAGCATCTATTGGCGTGTACTTTTTTTCCTTTCCCCCCCTGTTCACAACGCAAATGAAAACTATGATACGTTCCTTTCTTCATCATTGAATCCATATCAACATTATAAGGCTAGATCTTGCCTATTACCCCTCCCAAAAAAAAAAAAAAAACACACACACACACAAACAGGCAAAGATATTAAAAAATTTGCTCACCCGACCACTGGCCGCTTGGTCGGATGGTATGTGTGTGTGTTGGGTGTATGCGTCCAGGTTCGAGCCCGCTCCCTTGTACCTCAAAAAAAATTTGCTCACCCAATAACATCGTATCAATGCCTCTTCTTTTTTGGTAAAAAAGTATGAATCTTGTGAAACAAGCTATTCAATTTTCTTTTTATACGAAGACGTACGATTTATCAGGACAAAAATAGTGCTACTACGGTAACTATTGTCTAAAATTTAATTTACAATTATAGCTAGAACGTTTAATCTTCTTGTCTCTTTCAAAAATAAAATTTACAATTATTATGCAGGCATATATGAGATGCGTATGCTTGTCACATTTGGGGGTAATTCAAAATGATTGCAGACCTCCGCTAACATGCCTGTCCTTGAGGATTTTGTGACATCGATCACCGTCTCAAGATTGTTATTTCAAGGTAAAGGATTAGCCAGCCTGATTTGCATGAGCCTCCTTTGCTTTTTGGAGAAAGTTACTAATTTAAATGTTTTTAATTTAATATAATCATCATATGAAGCTTCAAGTAAGCAAAAACAACATCATATTCTTCCGATCCTTAATATAAAACCTAATTAACTAATTTGAGTAAAGAAAGAAGAATGTTAATTAAATTAGTTAATATGACATATTTTTTCCAAAAAACCCTAAGCATCTTTCTTAATTCCATCTTCCCTCCCCTACTTGAGTGTTATTGAGGGAATATCAATAGGATTGATTTGGAAAAAAATAATAATAAATATGAGAAATAAGTCTTACACATAGGACCAATATCAACTCTCCAATTAGATCCTATATTTAGGAATTGAGAAGTATTTTTATATTCACAAATTGCTTCTAAGGCACAAAGCTAAAATTTGACTGATGGTTTTTTTCCCTCTATTTTATTGGATGTTGTTTTTTCCCCCTTTTTCAGTGACTTGATCTAAAGTTTCAAGAGCAGAATGTTATTGGCTTTCAATGAGCATAGAAATGGCCAAATGTTTCTTGAAGATGCCACATCTTAGGTAATGCATTTTTTAATTATTGTGATTGAAAGGATTCATATGTTGTTGAATTTAATCTAATATTGTGTTTTAATGAATCATGTCAAAATAGGTGAGGGAGCTTGTTGAATTGCTCTGTTTTGAAGAGTTACATGAGGAACAAGGAAGGCGTGTAAAAAAGCTAATATCTATAGGAATCCCCTTTAGCTAATTCAAGAGTTACAGGCGAAAAATTATCAATGGAAAGGGGTTGAAAGAGTTCGAGTCTTTCTTTGGATTGAAAATTTGATTATTCCTGGTGTTGTGCTTCTTTAGCCTTCAACATTAAGAGCTTTGTGGGTATTATGGAATTAACAATTGTCATGAGGCAGAATTGCATTTCCTATCAGTTGTAAACTACTTTTTGCACATTTTGTTTTAGTTTGGAGTGAACTGTGTAAAACTCTAGTTACCAATTACGAGTAAGCTATGTAAAAATTATGGAATTGTGATTTGTAAGAGTTGTAGGTGAACTCATTGCAAAATTTAGTGGGATAGTAATTGGATTTTTATGGCGAGAAAATCTCGAGTAGTTTTCAAGAGGACTAGATATAGGACAAGGGACCGAACTAGTATAATTCTTGTAGTACCTTTTCTCCCTTCCCTTATCTCTAATTTATCACTGATCATACGTAGTTGCTTGTTTCATCTAACACACAAACACTATCACAGTTTTTTAAATTAATTTAATCAAAGTATAATATGCAACTTTTAGTAAACAAAAATATTACTTATACAGAACCTATGTTATTTAAAAATAAAATAATGTTTTTGGTAGCTGGCAGACTAGAAATTCATAAAAAAGGAATTCGGTAAAATTTCATATTATCATATGTTCTGTTACAATTGTTGTGATTTATTATATGCACATTATCGTGAGAGTTTGTGAAAAACTATTGTCCCACATTAAAGAGATTTCCTTCTCAGGATCTGAGTTTGAAACTTAATTGGTTAGATTAAAGTTGTACCGAGTAGGGTTGTGAAGCATCTTTGGAAGCTAATTCATGAGAGACTCATCTGAGCTTATATCGTCCTTTTTTCTTTTCTTTTTTCCGTATGATACAAGAGAGGGCTGCGCCCAAAATAAAACTAAAGTAGATGGGGACTAGATCCCAAGCTCTCCTTGTCCACAATGACCCTCAATTCAAGAGGGCAGGTGTCAAATAAAGCTGAAGTAGAAATTCCTTTCTTTGCTAAATGATCTGCTACACCATCACTGTCTCGATTTGTATGCCTCAAATGGACTTGCCAGCTGCGTTTTAATAAATCCTGTATTCGCAGTACCATAAGGCTGCAGTTTAAAGTAGCCTCCTTTGATGTCAGCATCTCAATGAGTCCTTTAGCATCAGATTCCAGAATGATCTGTTTAAACCCATAATCCAAGGCCAAGCTCAAGCCCTTAAATATAGCCCATGCTTCAGCATCTAGGACATTGCATTTTCCGATCTTACAAGAGAATCCCACTATCCAATCACGTTTATGGTTCCTTATCACTCCCCCACATCCAGCATCACTTGAATGAGTATTGACTGCACCGTCCACATTTATTTTGACCCATTCAGGAGGAGGAGGAGACCAGCCACAAGTCATGACAGCTTTTACATTATCATCATATTCCTTAATCTCAGGTTCAAATACATAATTCTTCCAAATATGGCAAATCACCTTGAGAGGATCATCAGGTTTCACATAGTTGTTGTTAAACATAACTTCATTCCTCCAATGCCAAAGTTTCCACACTGCAACACCCCAAAATAAGCCCCATTTTCCAATTCCATCTCTCCCCATATTCTTCTTAAGATTCAAAGATATCCAATCACATAAGGAAGCAGTAAACAAAGACGAGAAATATAGAGGATTCCCAATTCCCCGCCCTAGGTCTTTTGCATAATCACAGTCCCTTAGGATATGTAATATATCCTCGTTACTTGCCATACAGTGGGAACATAAGGCGGAACAATGCGACCGTTTACTTCTCCATATTTTTGTAGGTAGTCTATCCAGAAAGGTTCTCCAAAGAAAGACTCGAACTCTTTCAACCTTTTGAGACAGAAAGCAAAAGGTACCAAGGCAAAACAGAAAAGCAGAGTCATTGCACTCTGAAAATGTATGATTCATTGATATATCAAATGTATACAGTAACACCCTATTTATAGAGTTCGTATCCTATTATAAACAGACACGTATACATGAGAAGAGGAATCTAGAATGTCAATTTAAACATGTCTGATATGAGCAATATAGGCTATTTGGGCTTGACATCTTTATGGGCTTCAATACAACCCCTTTCCATTTCCATATAAGATTGAAAGTTGGATTATAAAGAGAGCATGGATTTTCCTCCAGAAGATAATAAGCGCTCTTAAGACTGAAAATTCCGTTATTAGAGGCATTCCAAGACATTAAATCATGTCCATCAGCATCAGAAGGACTTAGAATGCTCAGCAATCTCTGTAATATTTCCTTATTGACCACTGACTTTAGTCTTTGAAAATCCCATGACCCGTTTGACACCCAGTCTGCCACTACACTCTCATTTTCCTCATCAGACAAATCTCGTAAGCACCAATCTTTAATTTTCCTGTTTGGGAAGAGCCAGAAGTCATTAAAGAAGCTTATAGAATGCCCATCTCTCAAAATCCATCTAGTTCCTTTGTCTAACAAATCCTTTTGCTGACATATGAACTTTCATAGCTTTGAATCGCCAGGAACAGCAGTAAGAAGATTTTCCTCATTTCTCAGCTCATATTTCTGATTCAAAAATATATTGTCCTTTTATATTGCCTCATCATCTTCCAATCTAGCCAGGCCCGTTTCCTTTGGACTCATTGCAGTATCCAGCTTTTGCCTATCAGAGGTGAACCTTTTGAGATGTTCAGGGAGGAGGCATGGTGTACATATACCCCAATTGATTCCTAATAGAATAAAAATATTAATACTTTGAAAAATAAATATGTTAAATTGACTAATTGGGAGTATGTTAGGAGTAGTGTTAAATTCTTATTTATTTTTCATTAAAAACAGTCCTAAACTTATTTAAAATCCTATTAAATCGTATTCTTCATCATTACAAGTAATTGATATATCATCTTTCCTAATATATTTTCATCCTCCATTACTCTTAAAATTTAACGAGACTCGGCATTTTTTCATTAAATGGTTCAGTTTACTATTAATAACCATGCATAGAGGACATGAAGTTATATCAAGTGCTTGGAAATTTTGATGTGAAGCTTTGAGAAGTTTGAAATTAGTTAGCTTTTGATGATGTGTTGCTACAACATTTCTTGGTAGCTCTGAAGCTAAAACTAATTCCACCCATAAAAATGGGAAAAAGAACAGAAAACATAAACTGCTTGCGGATAAGACATACTATCATTTTCTTTTGCTACATGCTGAATGTTAAAACAAAAGACTTAGCGTGGAGCTCACTACTCTTGTTCTTAATATAAGACATAATTAATTGATTTGAGTAGACTAAGAATCTTAGTTAAATTAAGTAATATGATATGTTTGTTCTAAAACATCCTAAGCATCTTTTTCAATTTCCTCCCTCCTTCTCCTATTTGATTATTGTTAGCAGAATATTGATAGCATTAATTAAAAAAATTCATAAATATATAAAATAAGTCTTATAAATAGCACCAAATTAACTCTTTAATTAGCTTATATATTAAGAACCGAAAGAGTATAATAATATATGGGATTTTAGAGTAATAATTTTCCAGCTTTCTTATATTCAATATTTGTTATGAGCCTCATCTCATACTGATGAAATTGAGTTGTAAGAAAAGTGACAGAGGGGTAACCCGATGGAGATCGAGAAGGGGTAACTGCAGAGTAATAATTCAAAGGTGGTCCGCACAAATGAGAGTTCCCAAGAAAAGAAGTATAAGGAAATTTTTAGATGGAGTTTGGAATTAAGCCACTCAAGAAAATTTTTATTAATGTTAGTTTGTTACAATTAAATATTTAAACTATTTTTGTGGTTTCTTATATTTTTTTGAGTGATTATTATTTATAAATATTATTTTATTTTGTTATTGTCAATTAAATTTTATTATTTTAATATGGCCTGTCCAACCCTTATCTGACTATTAACTCTTGACCCACCATCTCCAGCAATTCAGTATCTGGCCTGGTTTTTTGTTCCTTGACAAATAAGACATCAAAATTTGAAAATAACAATTAAAAATAAAGATTTTGCCCGCCGGTGTTCTGCGCATGGAGATATTTAAATTGCTAACAAAAATTCGTCTAATTAATAAAGAGTTGGCTCATAACTTACAAAATTGTTAGTTCAAATTGCCAATCTAAGACCTTATTGATGGGTAATCTATATGTACTTTTGTGAGCACTCAGTGAATCTAAAGGCATGCCCTAACTCTGAGTCCTAATGAATATTGAGATTCGGCTCACTTAAACTTTTGTCACCTGAAAAAAAATGTCAACGCACTCTTGAAGTCAATTAATTATTTTACATCATAATATCATGACAACAAATATTGAAGAATCGTATTGTACAGACGCAGCACTCTTTGAATCTTTTTTAATGGGAAACAAAATCATTTTGGGGACAATTTGTTTAAAATTAAAGAAAAAAAACGCTTTTAGTTAAGTTTAATACTTGAATTATTCAAATAAGCCCCTTGTTTTCAACATATCCCTTATACTATATGTTTAACTAGCTTAAATTCTCTCAACAATTGCCTTATACTTCCAACAACTGTTTTACGTTTAGCCTAGCTAAAATCGCTTTTTTTTTCCTGAAATTTTTTAAAAACAAACTTGCCGTTAATTTAAGGTTTTTTCCCCCTTATGCCACATAGCATTTGTAATTAAAGTCAAACTTATAACCTAAGCGGTCTGGCGGGGAAAAAAAAGGGGAAGAAATGTGAGTAGATTGAAATTTTAAAATTGTGATTTGTAAGAGTTGTAGGTGAGCTCGTTGTAGAACTTACTAGGATTTATAATGGATTTTTATGATGGAAAAATCTCGAGTAGATTTCAAGAGGACTGGATCTCGTGGTGCCTAATTTATGTGGTGCCTAATTCTCTCTTCCCTTATATCTAATTTATCACTAATTATATTTAGTTACTTATTTTAAATTAATTTAATTAAAGCATAATATGAAACTTCTAGTAAACAGAAATGTTACTTATACATAACCTATGTTATTTAAAAAATAATAATTTTT